GGTATGAGGGTCCTGGGGGGTGGTTTGGCAGTTTTGAGGGGGTGTATGGCAGTATAGGGGTATAGGGGGCGGGTATGGGGGTGTTGGTGGGGTTATTGCGGGGTACCGACGAACCCCGACCAGTAGGTGCCGACCAGCAGACCAGTCGGCTGGTTGGCATCTGACCAGTCAAGGGGCACCTACCGTCGGGGTATGCAACACTGTCCATGAGTGATAAAAGGTTCACCAGATTGGAATCCAATTCCTACCAAATGTTTAGGTAATACCTCCTGGCTTTTTCTCACCTTTTTCTAGATATACCTACCGCGCTCCCCTGAACACAACACACCCTGATCATGAATGTATACGAACTAGATTTCCGGTATTATACGGTCATGATGATGAGGATCCATTGCGTTCGGGAAAAAGACGGCAGGGTTGATAGACCTGATAGCGTCATATATTATTGAATGGAACCTTCATCTTTTTTTCTTTTTTTCTTTTTGTTTTGAAAACTAATCTATATTCTTCTCTCATTATGCCTCCCACTACCTACCTACCTCGCCTTGAATGCTACCTTTCTTTATGTATGGACCACAAACCGGCTACACAAAGGTTACGGGTTGAGACTATGCCCTCCGGGTTGAGCCTAACTCCCAGCGACGGGTGGAAGGGATATTTGCACTCCCCGCCAGCCAACTAGGAGGGGCAAGCTGACTATCTCAGCTGGAGAATGCACAGCGCGCCTTAGGGGGGCGTGGGATTTCCCGGTGCGAAATGGAAGGCATGAGCAATCGAACCCACGGCCTCCTGAATGCAGCTTTCGTGCTCTACCAACTGAGCTAGTCTGCTGGCCCCTGACTGGAAGCTTCTGGTTGCCCACAGGCCTGACAAATGTCTGACATTGTCTGTCAAAAACGGCAAAAAAGTTTGTCGGAAACTGACAAAAAGGGGTTACGGGCCTTGCATCCCTTGCTTCCCTGATCACCGCATGTGAAAAATCAACACTTCACAAGTGGCAAATGTATCTCTCCAGTTTTAGTGCGGGGATACACTTCTCACGTCTCACATTTTTTGAGTGGTGAAGCGAGGCAGATTGCAATGGAATCCAGTGAAGTCTCATCTGCCTTCTGCTTTCTTGTGGAACTCTCGTTTCCGGTCCTCCACCTCCTCCTCTCTTCCTGCCTTCTCCACATGCATCCGGTCAGATTGCCTCGCCCTGTCTGTTGGCATTTTGAAGCTACAGCTATCAAGCGGTTGTCAATCTCTCAACTGTTCAACATCTGGTTTTGTGAAAGATACCTGACCTTCTTCTTCTTCTTCTTCTTCTTCTTCTTCTTCTTCTTCTTCTTCTTCTTCTTCTTCTTCTCCTCCCTCCACGTCTTCTTCTTCTTCTTCTTCTTCTCCCTCCACGTCTTCTTCTTCTTCTTCTTCTTCTTCTTCTTCTTCTTCTTCTTCTTCTTCTTCTTCTTCTTCTCTCCGTCTTGTTCTTCCTCTTCTTCCTATTGTTCGTAATCTGGTGCAAGTACTGTGCTGCTGCTCCTTTCTTCTTCCTTAAAATCAACCTTTTTGAAATAACACATTCTGGATGGATAGTCAGTACACCTCCATACTCTGTGCTTTGCAGATAGCAATTGCAGGTGAAGCACAAAACAATAATCTGTTAACACAACTTAACAGAGACTGCTTGCTCACATGCTACGTGCTTTTTCTGTGGTGCACTTCAGTATGACTATGTCATCAGAGCTGCGCGGATTCCTGGAGCTGGTCAGTACAATCTTGGGCAATCCTGTGGAAAGCAATTTGAATCGAACAAAACGACCTTGCCGATGTTCACTTTCGGGAGTGGTGCACGAGATCAAAGAGCAAAGGTGAGTGCACTCGAGTCTTAAGGGCATACTGACGCTAGAACATTTTCACCTGAAAAACTGAAAAACTGAGATAAGTCTTCCCTGAGATAGGGAATGAAACCGTAAAACATTTTTTTCACTGTAGTGAGCTCGCTGCTACCGCTAGCACTACGAATGGCATGAATGCTATCTGAATGGACTTCCTGAAGCAGTCACGAAGGCGATTGGAGGAAAAGAAGCTCCTATGTGCATGTCGATCATGGGAGGAAATTTGGCAATCCACCATAGGTGCACTGCGATCATTGATTACAGGGGTTACATGAGAATAGGACAATGACCTAGCAGCAGTGCAATACAGTCGCGATCTGAACGACCATCTCGCAGTGAAGTCCATGCATAAAGACCTGAAGACAATTCTCACATAGCTCTTCAGTGGAGATAACAATTGTCAAAATCAGTGGGGGGAAAAGCCGCAAAGCGAAAGGCGATCCAGAAGGTAGCGAAGCAAAAAAGTGGGAAAGCAAAGGCGACTAATCAACAGGGTGAGCAAAGCGGAAAGACAAGACAGTGAGGAATAAGGCAATACTTAGAAAGAAATGAGAAGAACGACGCACGGGCAGAGAAAAGACAACAAGTGCACAAGGCAGGAAAAAAGACAATAAATAGCAGACATGAAACAGTCACACAAATCGCGGCAAGGCTAAAGCAATGAGGTGACACATAGGCTGGAGGGCAGGGGGGAGGTGGGAGGGCAGACAGCACGCAAGCACACAAAGCAGGGAAAAGACAACAAGCAGCAAGCAAGAAAAGGTACAAGTCCCAGAACCGTAAAAAAAGAGAAACTTGAAACAGTCAGACAAAATACAGCAAGCCTAAAGCAATGAGGCAACACATAGGCTGGAGGGCACGGGGGAGGTGGGAGGGCAGACAGCACGCAAGCACACAAAGCAGGGAAAAGACAACAAGCAGCAAGCAACAAAAAGTACAAGTCCCAAAACCGTAAAAAAAGAGACTGATGATGATGATAGATTGTTTTGTTGGACTCGCACCGACTCATCAGGAGGCTGAACCCATATTGATGCTTTTTGGGTCATGAACCCTGTGACCCCCTATGTTGAAAGCAGAGTGCCTGCAGGCAACAGCACAGTGGAACATAGCAGCAGGCTTTGCTACCGGGACAGTCCAACTGCACAACGCCATTAGATCAGTACCTCTGATCTGAGCCCTCCTCCGTGCAAGCACAGACTCGAACCGGCGACCTCGGCCGCAAGAGCCAAGTATCTTAACCACTACAGCCAGGACACGGTGTTCAAAAGCGGAACCATACCAGCCGTGATATCCGCCCTACCCCCTGCAAGGCTGTAGTGTCCACACTCAACGCACACCCCACACAACACCACACGGACGCTGGCAATCACCGCACACTTCGCTCCAAGTAGCACATTTCTCCCATCGGTAGCATAGCCCTGTCACTTATGCGGGACTTTAACGAACTGCCACCAAAGCTAACTGCAAGGAATGACAGCGCAAGCGGACGGGCAGCAAGAACAACAACATAGAGACGCACAAGGCAACACTGCCAAAGCAGCCGAACCACATGGCACACAAGCAAAGTACACGGGAAGACAAGGCACATGGATGGGCAGCAAGGCAACAGTGCAATGAAGCACAAAGCAAAACCAACAACGCATCCAGACTGCACGGCAAACACACCAGCTGTAAAGAACGACACAGGAAGCAAGCGGGATGGGCAGCAAGGCAGCAGTGGAGTGCCAACAAGGCAGTCCACACATCCAACACAGAGCAGAGCAGTACATTACCTACTCACTCCACAAGTAAACCCCACAGACTGTTCGTTCCCACCACTTGCTGAGCCACGACTGTTATCACACATAGACCATATCCACCATACAGACACAGCTTTCTTTTCCCTCTTTTCCTTCTTGTAGAAAAGGTGACCTGTTATGGCTTCATCTCCGTTCTAGTCTGGGGAACATCAGCTCCAGGTCCTTTTCAGCGGCTAGACATAAATACAAAAAAGTGAAACCTTAGGCAGGGGTGAGGGGTGGTACATCCTTCTGTGGGAAATAATCAATGCCGTCCACTCGCGCCTCTCAACCGGAGCGTGCGTGAGTAGTTATTGTATTTTTTTCTGACTAGCCAGTGGAATAGGAACCGGACTGATGCTTAGGGCATATGAGTGGGGAGGACACAGGCCGACAGGGACAAAGGTTAAACTCTTTCTAGGGGACATAGTAGTATATGGCAGATCTGCACTCCAGATCCGAGAGGAAAGAGAGGGGCACGGCAAAAAAAAAAAAAGGAACCGGACTGACGCTCCCCAGAATAGAAGGATTCAGGTCCCTCCCACTATTGTGCTTAGGTTGGCATTCCCTAATCTTAGTAAGGTGAACCTATTGGTGGTCTCAAGTTTTTAATCCAAGGAGTTTTGTATCTGAGATTGGGTTTTCTTCCATAGCGCATGGATTTCAGTTTCTATTGGTTGTTTTATAACGATGAGCGGATTCTCTGTGTTAGCAAGTTGATCTTCAAAGGTCAGTTCACATCTTCTTCTCCAGACAGCGCACAGTGTCGCTTTCCTTATTTGAGCAAAAAGGAAAAGATTGAAACCTTTGAGGAGGGGGGGAGGGTGTTGCTCTATGTCTAGGAAAAGGGTGCCGAGGTTAAATTGGACTACACTACCTGAGTATTCATTCCATGTTAATTCTATTTCATGCCACAGTTTTAGTGCCTTCACACATTCTAAGAAGCAGTGGTTAAGAGACTCTATGGCTTGGCAATTGCAGACTTTGCAAAAAAAAAAAAAAAAAAAAAAAAAAAAAAAGGAACCGGACTGATGCTCCCCAGAAAAAGGAAAAAAAAAAACAAGAGCCTAGCTCAGTGGGCACACCCATGAACTGTTGAAATGCAGACCCCTGTTCAAATCCAGATGATGGAACTTGATGARAAAAAAAAAAAAAAAAAAAAGGGAAAAAGAAAATCAAAGTTAACAACCACAAAAAARWRAAACCAGGMAAAAAAAAAAAAGWCACCACACTGGTCCACACACACAAAAAAATGAAACCAGAAAAAAAAACACAGAAACCCAGCATCCAGTCTTGAGGGAGGGGGGGAGCCAAGAACTGCACATAGAGCAGCGAAGGATTAGTCTGTCAGGGGCTGGTGGTCCCGTTTCCTAGCTTCAGATGAGAAATTTGGGGAATCTTACAGGGGCGGAGCAGGGGATAACCTACCAGAAATAGAGGCCAAAAGACAACTCATCAGGAGAGCTCCCCGCTTCAAAATTGTCATCTCTTTTTTCATCCCTCCCACATGCTGGGCATCTTCTTCTTTTGTTTTTTGTTTTTTTTCTATTTTTTTTTTTAAACAAGCAGCCCGAGCTGATGCTAGGGGTGCTGATGGGAGCAGACACCACTAGCATTCCATACATTTAGTGAGTAACTGGGAAAGTTAAAATTAGGCAGGCCTCAGTTTGTACCATATGTCATTTCTAGTGTACGGCTGGCAGGACTGGAACCCACACGGCATGAAGTGCCCGCCACATCCTAACTGTGGTGCATAAACCAGGGTTACCAGGGTTGCATACCCGCCGGCCTCCTACCCCAACCGCCAACTGTTTTGCAGCCTACGGGTAGGGCCGACCAGTCAGTAAACAGCAATCCACTGATTTCTTTTTAAAATCTGACCATGGGGCTGTACTGTGGTTGCTGAGTACAGCCCAAATTCGCTGAGAAACTTTTGGGGATGGGGGGCGAGGTACGGCAGGGTTATCGGCGGGGGTATGTGGGGGTATAGGCCCCCATGGGTGATATAGTGGGTATCGGGGGGGGGGGGGGGAGAGCGGGTATGAGGGTGTTGGGGCCAGTTTGGGGATGTTGGGGGGGTGTATGGGGGTGTCGGCTGGGGGTATGGGGGTGTTGGGAGGGTTATTGCGGGTTATGGACTCCCAGAACGATTTTTTTTGTTTTTTGTGGGGTGCCGCCGACCAGCCGACCGGTCGGCTGGTCGGCTCTGTGCAGCTCTGGCATAAACCAATTTCGCCATAGCCGTTTCTTGCTGGAGTATGCATCCCTAGCATTACCCCGGGATGCTTTCTGGTTAACCTTTCCCACCCACCCCAGGGTGACGTTGTGTCGGCTCCATTCTTTGCTTGGCCAGGCAGCGAAGCTGACGAGCAGAAAAGGGATTTGAATTTTGAACCCTCAAGCATAGTCTTGGCAAGGCTATACTCTGCCACAAAGCTATTTCTGCCATCTGTCCCCTTGATTCCGTGGTGCTCTCGTCGTGAGAGGCCGGAGGGAAAGAAAAGAAAACGCTCTTGCGAGTGCGGCTTCAAAGACGAACAACCCGAGAGCGTGACCAACATGCCCAGTTTTATTGGTCCTACCGTCTTCGTCGAATGACATGACAGGCTGAAGAGAACTTTTATGGACTGATCTACATGAATGTTTTCTTGTGAGGGTAATTCAGACTAGTTCTGCAGCCATGGGGAGGGGTTTGATCACATGCAAGGGCCCAAATGACATCAATCCTTCTGAAGGAAGAAACGAATGCTGTCAGAGTTCCCGGGCCGTAACATTAGGAAGAGTCGAGAGTGCGTATACTCTGTACGATTTCTGATGGGGCTGAACCATAAGGACCTGTTTTGTTGAAAAAACAAAAGGTCCTACAAATTGATGGCTTGCACCCACGGACACCCAGGCAGTTTTTCGTAGTGCATCAGAAAGGTGAACTGCATACTTTTATTTTATTTTTTCCCAAATTTGGTCCGATGGACGACGGATCAGATATTAAACTGATCGGAACAGAAGCAACAGACGCTACAAAAGGCTGAGAAGGGTACAGACATTGGAAATTCACCTTTTTTTTTTTTGCATCAGATTTGATAATATATTACATGGAAGCTCACTTGAAACTTTCACCTTTCTGCAGTCACAGATGCAGGCCCTAGAGTTCGATCCCCAGACCTCACTTTGCCCATGTACAGTATCGAGTCGACA